AAAAAAAAAAGTATGTCGTGGCATGACATCATGAAAGGATTACTTATAGAAATCACTTCATATTCTTGCTTATTGTAATAAGTCAAAACTTTGTATTCTGATGATGTTGATACTGGAAACATGGTACAATCAAGGCTATACATAATTGCCATCCTGTGCTTGCAGATAATTTAGACCTCTCATTTGTCCTCTTAATAACTACTTGTGGCATTCAATTTTTGTTGATCTTGGCAGGTGTGCAATCTTGTGTGGTCTAAGAATGTCAATGAACTTGTCAGCACTCATGGGTACTCTCAAAACCAAATAATAGTGTGGAGATATCCTACAATGTCAAAGGTACTGTACTCTAACCATGACTTATTATCTACTACTTCTGTGTAATTTTTTTTTTCTGCTGTTGATATTTTGTAACCTCATGTCAATTTTACAGTTGGCTACCCTCACGGGGCACACTTACAGAGTTCTTTATCTTGCCATCTCACCAGACGGACAGGTACAGCTGTAAACTGCCGTCTATTTTCCTTTTAACTTTATTTTGACAATAATTAAGTGCAACGCCATGATTTTTAAGTTTCATACTGGCTGACATTTCAATTGCTTATTATTTGTTTGTTATTGTAGACAATTGTTACTGGAGCAGGAGATGAAACACTTAGATTCTGGAATGTGTTCCCTTCACCAAAATCTAAGGTGAGCAATCTAGGCATGAATAGAATCGCTTTCCTGTGTACTCTATGCTGTATGAGATATTTGAGTTGCAAAAAACAAACGGTGACAATAATTGGTACTGGTCTAGCTGAACCTTGTTGTTTAATAAAAATAAGCTGATCCTGTAATCTGCATGATAAATTGAGCTGGTTGGAGCTTTTCCTGGCACTGTGCTAGACTGCAGCACAAAATGCAGTTGGTTTTCCTTAAACTAATTTGCCATTTTTGATAACTCGGGGTTTTAAAATGAAGTTGCTATGGATGCTTATCAGCACCTCATCAGATGAATGAGGACTAATGCCCACCCCATCCCCCAACCCATACATAAACAAGAAGACCCCCAAAATCGCAGACTGAGAAGTACCTTGTTTTGTAACGTGCTGGTGAAGGTTGTAACGTTCTCATGCTTCTTGTCTGTGCAGAACACGGAGAGTGAAATTGGAGCATCATCTTTGGGAAGAACTCAGATTCGGTGACTCTAGCAAGTTTTTCAGGTGTCACACTCTTTGATAATTATTTGTTGTCATGTTGGTGCAAACAAGCAGAGGTTTTCGTCTGTTTGCCATTAAGTGAAGGAAGCTGGAAAAGTTGTATAAAATTACCTCTTGGAGCCTAGCTTTTCAGCAGCAAACAAGCACCAGTGCCCAGATATAGTAGAGGCCTAGATTCTGGCAAAGTGACAACTTGATTTATTAGTTTTTTTAATACCAATTGTACAGTGAGAGATGTTATTTAATGCTCAATAGCACTCTCCCTCGCCTTGTGTATGATAGAGAGAGCTTATTATGTACGGGAAATTAACTGTAGCATGGAACTCAATGCTGACATTGTAAATAATTCACAAGTTATTCAATACTCAAGACTGCTCAAATTAGCCACCTCCGTGTGTGTTATCCTCCTTTTCCTCTTGGAAAGAAGACAAGCACTTTTAGTTTGGTAACCATTGGAAAATTCTGTTCCTGTTCGGGTCTAATTTTGCTGTGTCTGGAATTATCATATGCAATGCCATTTTCATGAAATATCAGCAGTTCAGAGAAACTGCACCTAATTCTAATAGCAAAAGTTGAAATTTCGACTGCTTGATAGGGCCTTCAAGATCCAGCAGCAAGGGATTTTTAGGCCTCGACACTTGTATATTCCAAGCATGATTTGACGGCCCAATGACAATTTGCCAGATATCACGTACCATTAGGGATGGCAATGGGGGCGGGTGACCCCGCGGGGGGCTAATGGGAAGGGGGTTGGGGCGGGGGGAATTTTTTCCCCCCCGCTTAGAAACGGGGCGGGGGGCGGGGGGCGGGGCTCCCCCGCCCCATTCCCTGCCCCACCACCCGCTTTAAAATATATATATATAATATATGTATATAATTATATATATAATATACAATTTAATTAATTACAAACTTATGATAATGATATTATTAGTTATATATATTATATAATGTCTATTAGTATATATAATATAATTGATATTATTAATTATACTAATAATTATATATACAAATTATTAATTGGTTATACTAAATTTACTAATACATTTATACTAAATCTCTAATTACACTTAATACAATAACATTTTTTTTTCTTAAAAAAAGCACAAGCACAATAATGAATTAGTGATTGCATTTGTGCCAAAAATGAAAACTTGACTACTTTAGTTATATTTATTTCATCATTGGATTGTATTCAAATAATTTTTGTTTGATTGTTTTTATAAGTTTCAATTGTAAAATTACAATGAATAATAATTTGATGATGTATTGATATTTTAGTACTTGATTATTTGCTAAAATTTAACCATAATAAAATTATATAATAAATTTTTATTAACCCCGCGGAGGAAGCAAGGCGGGGCGGGGGGAGCGAGGGACGGGGGATGGGGCCGGGGCAAGGGAAGTTTGTAGGTAGCGGGGCGGGGAATGGGGGAGAGGTCCCCCGCCCCAACCCCGCCCTGTTGCCATCCCTACGTACCATTGTTGAGTCTAATTGTTTTGCCACATGAAAATTGAGCGAAATTTCTTTGAAGTCACAAGGTACCTTTTGGGCGGCGTCCATTGAAGTTTGGAGTTTCGAATGTCATTTTCCACTTGTTTGACAAAATTTGCAATGGCGTACCCCTAAAATCTGCCTTCGTTCTTCAATCGCTGATATCTAACAATCCTGCATGAATTATGACGATTGACAAGCAGCAATAACATACACGGATCTCTACCGCGTTCAAAGGGATAGAGGACGGCAGCAGCACTAGTCCTAGCGCCATCTCTGCCTCGTTCGTGTTTGTTTTTCTTTTAGGTGTTTTTGCTCATTGGCATTACGGGTGTAAACGAGTCTAATCAAATCGAGTATCCTAGGATTCAAGTTTATTTGATTATTTTATCGTACTTGAAATTCCGCTCAAGTTTGATTTATTTATCTATGGAGCTGAATTCAAACGAACTTTTACCGAGCATAATTTAAGTAAAGTTCCAGCGATTTGGATTTTTAACTCATAAATTTCAATTTTATTCTAACAAGTCAAAGTTGAACAGAACTTAAATATTTATTGAATACAAAATATTATTCAAACTTAGTTTGATTAATTGGTGAATTAAGTTTATACTGAGTTGAATTCGATTCAAGTATCTGGTTCTTACTTGTGAATTGTGATACAGATTTTCAAATGAATACCGAACAAGTGCAACCCAAATTCCTAATTTTCAAGGAGACGACTGCGATAGAGTCCCGAATCTCAGCTGTCCATAGATCTGTGCACTTCCTTTCCTCTGCGGTTGACACTTGGCAGAGGGACCGAATCTAATGGCGACACCATCCCAATTTAGCACACCACGCTCGTCTAAACTCTAAAGCGGTCGGCGGCAGCATTTAGGTCTACCTCACAATTTAGCCAACTTATTTGGCAGGAAAAACGTGCTGTTCGGAAGAGATCTTAAATATATTGGCTCCACATGTATTGTGAGATTAGAGGTCAAGAGTTCAAATCTTATTTCCATCAATGTGCCATTACATGTGATTTCTTTTAGATTTATAAGGATACGTGGTGCATCCGTATGATTCGATAGTAGTCTAATCATCGTCGGTTCTCTCGATTTAACTGAACCACCTCCTTAAAGTAGATTAGAGTAGGAGGACGAGTCGGAGTAGACTATGATAGATATGCTGTTACGAACAAAAAAAAAAAGAGTTCCTAAATAAAATTCAATTGGAGATAACATGATTTACTTTTACAAAGCAGACATTCTTGAAAATATTGAAATACTTGTGGACGTACAAGCCCCCTCCACTTCAAGCATTATTCTTTCTTCTTTTTTTTTTTAGTTTAACGGCACATCTAGCCTAATCTAACCTACTCCTACTCCTAAGGGGAGGGGAAACCTACTCTATGGGGTGGCCCACTTCAAGCAGCATTCAGATAACATGTTTTGCATTCCAATTCTTTTAGAACCTAACACTTGCATCATTGGCGATGAAATGACTTTACCATCCTTACAACTTAAGATATTTTACACATATTCATGGAGAGAAACAATCAAAACATTTGCTAACTAAATTAACCATATTTTGTAATTTAAAGAACAACTAATTGCTATATAAAAAGGGAACTAATGCACATTTTCTATTAATGTACTTGACAGATAAAAGGAATCATATATGATGTACCTTATAAATAAAATGATTCAAACATAAAAAATAATTGAGTCATTTACAAAATAAATTAATCATAATTTGATTATGTTAGAAAAATTAATTTAGCTTTAGAAAAGGGCTCCAATACTAGGCTAGCTTCTTTTTTTTTTTTTTAATGTACTTGAAGATTAAAACAAATTGGACGTGAGGAGACTTCGGTTCGTTGTTTCTTCTTCTTATCACCACGATGATAACAATAGTCTTAAGGTAAGAAAAAACTTTGTTTTGTTAAATTTCGAAAGTTGTTACTTTTTGGTTACAAATGATGAATTTTTTTTGTTAATCATGTGTAATTACTACTCGATAAATGAAATAATAAGTCAGATCGAATGATTAAATTAACTAATATTATAGGTAAGAGGCACTCTTTAGAATCAAATGATGTTCTCACACCTAAATTCATTTTTTTTATTATTGCTTCTATTTTTTTTGGGAATGGGATAAATAGTTACAAGGATATAGTTTTTAAAGGAAGTTAGTGATAGTTTCAAAAATTTCGAACAATGGCAGTGAAACTATTAGAAACCCTAGTGGAGGTTTCTGAAATTATCCCTGTAAGTTATTCAAGAAGCATAATTGACTTCAAACATCAGTTCCCCTTCATTTTTACTTGAAAAATAACAACATCGCTCCTTTTATTCATAACAAATATTGGAACTACTTTCATTCATAACAAATATTGGAACTATGTACCAAAGTTTTCAAGCATCACATTCCCCAAAGGCCCAAAATAAAGAAAAAATTGGTAAGCTATATGTTCTAGTATCTAGCTGCACTATTAGGGGGGCACGGGCGTCTGCTTCTGTGTACTATTTACATTTTCAACAAATCACCTGCATAATCAATCATCCGTGGAGTAGTCACTTGGAGATTAAACCCATAAAAATAGGGTATCTCAGCTTTGCTGCTGCTGCAAGCTCTTGCCTTGGGGCTTCGTTCCATCATTCTCCTTAGAGCCAGAGGAGAAAGATTGTGACCAAGGAATCAGGCTCATGGGTGGAAAGCAGCATGAGCAGGCCTCTTGGCATGGTTTTGGCATATCCCAGCAATTGCTGGCCGGGATTTCCTTGTTCTCCATCTGGATCCCGCTAGAAGGAGAAGCAGCAGCCTGAAGTGGACCCCAGCATTCTACCTTGTTGAATTCTGGAATGTTTGAGTGAAAATATACCCAAACCAAAGCTTCCTGTAATTCTGGATAGTTATTCAGCAACCCTCCGTCAGCATAGACGAAAGCCTTCAACACCTGATCAGATTTCACCCCAGTTAATGAATAGCTTTTTTGGGGGTATGGTAATGGAATGATCATTTTATTCTTTTTGGGCTTAATTACCACAGGGAGTTCTTTGCAGAAGATCCAGTATCTGAGCCTAGCACACAAGTCTAATAGGAAATGACCACCACTTATGTGACAGTGAACATGAAGAGACATCTTTCCTTTCACTTTCTTCCATTCTGCAACCACTTCATCTCTCTGTAATTTGCTGTACCACCCCTGTATCTGCAACACAAAAATCCCATGTTCTCTTTTGCTGTAAATATCTATTGAAAGAATTCATCAACCCAGGATGGTTAGTGTGACAACATAGCCAGCTTCCTATTCCCTCAGCAATTAGCAGTAAAATCTGAGAAAATTAGGACTAATCAAGATAGTTAAGAGGGTTCTAAAGATAAACAGAATTTCGATGTTCGCTATGCCTCCGTTGTTCCCACCCTTTTTTGTTTACAAAAAATAATAATAATAATAACAACTCCCCAAAAAAGAACTATAAAAACAATAACAAGAAAATGTTTTAACCCTTAAACTGCTGTTAATTTGCAGTTTTAGGTTCAAAAATAGATAATATCAAATAAAATCAAGTGCGGAGTTCACATGGGTTCCCCTGTTGTACTCTGTTCTTGACCGCTTCACCGCTAGTGTGGTGTTAAACCAGAAGATAAGGATTACCTGAGAGTTATTTATGGTTTGAGAGATAGCCAGAGTGAGCTTTGAGGTTACATCACTATGTGTAAACGTATAGGCTCTAGGTAGCTGTCCTGGATGCTTCTCCTCATCAACTCCTAAGAAAACAACCTGCAACTTGGATGCTTCAAAAATAGCAGGTCCAAATAACCTGGCAACCTGAACCAAAACTCACCATAATTAAAATACATAATAATAATAAAAAAAAAAACACAAAGAGAGCCCCTTTTTGATCCTTGTTTATAAAGTTAAGAATTTTAATTCAGAACGTGATAATGGTAAGACTTACAGGGTTCAAGGATTGGCTTTTCTTGGATTTTCTTCTTGTTGTTGGGTACACAAGAACAGAGCTTCGGTGTTCTCTGTAGAGTGAAGAAGGCCTTAGCTCTTTTGGAAGCAGAGGACTGGTACTCAAAGTGCCCATATCTCCTAGTTCTGTTGAGCCTGGACTCCCTTCTCTGAATTAAATCTCCAATATTTCAGGACACCCTCCCAAACAATATATCAAATATCTCATGTACATCAGATTATTAGTTATAGGTGGCGAGAATCTTTTTTAGGGAATTTTGGGGCAGTTTGGTTTGTTTGCTTTGCTTCGATGCTTCACCTTTTGCAGCTTGAAAGCTTTGGATATCAACTTTTCTTCGAAGCAAGCAGGCGAGCGTATCTTTCAAGGCATGTGAAAGTGTTTTGAGTATGTGTTATTACGTGTATCAGAAGAGTTTTAGCGGTAGAAAAATGGACACAGTTGTGGAAAATGACGAAGACGCTGAGAATAGCGTATAAGCATGAAGAATATAATACTACAAAGTGAAGCAAAGGTTGCTTGAGGGCATGAAACTTCTTCCTTCTTGTTGCATGGCATCTTTGTTTTTCTTACACCTTTTTTGTAGTTTAGTTGGGTTTCAGTTGTAGTTTGACTTTGCTTTTTTCGCACTAACGACACTTTGTTCATTTTGACTAGAATCTACTCTAGAATTAATGGTTGAATAGAGTATTGCTTTTGTTTGGATAGGATAATTATTGAAGTATTTTTTGTGATGTGATGTATGTGAGATAAAAAAATAATTAAAAATATAAAAAGTGAATTCAAAAATGTATTTATGATGTAAGTAAAATATTATTTGAAAAAATTTGCTACCCGAACATTCGTAACATTTTTCTGATTTTGACTAATAACGGACAGTTAATAATTGTCTATGGATCAGTTAATGAATTAGCGAATGGAAACCACTTTTAACAACCACTTGAGCGGAAAATGAACTCAGAATGTGGATTTTGCTGTCTCTAATTAGTTTCACCATCTGGGAAATGAGTGGACACTTTTTTTTTTTTTTTTAACTTTAGTACCCAAAACCCACTTTAATTCTAGCAATTTGCGGCCGTCGCGATGAACGTTTGGGATACTTTTTCTTTTTCCTTTTTTTTCCCCCCTTTGAACTTTGTCTCTCTATGTGTCGGTATAGCCCCGCGTTTTGTTTTTATGCAATTTCCGGCTGCAATTTGTCCTTCATACAAAGTAGTATGCTGCCAAAACTACACTATTCTGCGGTTTGAGGAAATGCTCTTGCATTGAATTATCCACTACACGTTAATATACAACTCCAGGAAATGACACAGAGGACAAATCATGAGTAAAAGTTTGGTGCTCTTTTTCAGCCCATTTGGATTGCTATTTTCTGTCATTTTTTGTGAAAAAAAAAATACACTGTAACGATTTCATATATATATAATAAAAAGTAAATTTTTATTTTAGAAAAAAAAACAATTCAAACATTAGTAATAAGGGGTAGAGATGGGTTGGGTGGTAGGGAGTGTAAACAAGAGATCGTGACCTCAAATCCTCTCGCTTACGGAAAAAAAAAAAAAACATTAGCAGTGAAATCTAGAAAACATAGAAAATTAACGTTAATTAATTCATGATAGATTGTATAAGCATGGTGCGTGATCACATGATTATTGTTGATACATTTTTACACTAGTTCACATGCACAACTTTTCTTTAGCCTTTAGTAGCCCAACAACAACTGCCAGAATCAGCAAGAGGAAAAGCAAAAGCGGCAGCCGTGGGCCTGAGAATGCTAGGAATAACGAGGGTGTAGCCGGCGGCAATATTTGGGCGGTTCAATTTCATAATTCTGGACTATTCAGGGAATTCTATAAAATTTGACAGTTTTTTGATGGATTACCTATAATTGATAACGCAGAATTATGACGAATTATTGATTGTCTGTTATTATTATTTTTTTAGTTTTTTATCTAATAAGGAAACTGGAACACGTCGTAGCGGGAATTGTGGGCGGTTACGATCCAAGTGAGACACGTTAGGCGTGTTTTGTCCAATCCCCTAACTGATTTATTCCCGCGAGTAAGGTCCCACTGCATTCAATTAAAATCCAATCACGTACATTTACGTTTCAGTTAAAGATTACTTGAAAAAAAAAAAAAAAAAAGGATTGTTAGAAAACGTAGTTGTTAGAAAACGTAGTTACCAAATAATGAAAAAGATTTTGCATATTCAAATGGGTTGGCATTAATGCTTATTGGGTATATTTTATGAGTGTCTGTGGGACACTTATTAAGATGTTCAGTTTTGATGTTAAATTTTTGAAAAAGTAAAGTTAGTTAGTAAAAGTGTATAAATGTAAGAGAAGGTAACAATTTTAATGTGTGTATTAGGTAAATTGGGTGTTATTTAAGCGTGTTAACGATGGCTTATTATTACGTATCTGATAGAAAATTAATTTTGTTTTTTTTTTGGAGGTAAAATTGACTCCAAGAAAAATTTGACATGCTCGGTTTGCTTTTGTATCATAAAAGCATTTTGTACATGGTAACTTTTTTTGGATTCTCTTTTTCCTAATTGTAGAAACTGAAAAAAAAAATAATATTGTTTCTTTTCTCATTCATTGGAGTGCCTAATGACGGGAATATGATACTAGAGAAGAAGATTTGGCTACCTAATCGATGGATAATTTTCTAAATTTAACAAATTATATTATAAACCGCGAAAAAGACAAAATGCCACACGTGGCCCTTGAAACTTCTAGCAATGTCCATCCTAATCCTGTAGAAATTGTTTATTCATTTTTTTTGTCTCAATCTTCCGGGACACATTGCACCCTCATTTTTATTGGCTATAAAAGTTTGCACAAAATTTCTTTTTTTGAAGGAAAAAAGCACAATTTTTAAAGCTATTGCAGCTTGATCATTTTAATATTAATTCTGTAAAATAAGCTTTGACGGCATAATAACCCAACAGGCCAATGGGCTTTAAAAACAAAACAAAAACAAAAAAACACGTAGCCAAACACGACTTTGTTTTATCCCATATTAGATACTTCTTATCTTCCAAGCATTATGTTATGCCCCTAAAATTACCTTAAAATTGTACCAATTGTTATGAAATAACAAAAGGTCTGAATGTCCATTTGTATTATCAAGAGGATTAATTCATGATTCATTAGTACATTAAGTAAAGGAGTTATATTGAATGAACCGTTTCAATCCATAAAGCTATTCATGTATTGGATGAACGGTTTCAATTCATAGGACTATTCCTATAATGAGTGTTTAATAGAAATGATGTACTTTTGATTTTGTAGTACCTATATATTTATATATATATAAGTACCCTGGCACTTCTTGGGATGGTTTTGATTTGTAGGAATAATAAGAATATTATTCTCTATTCCTCTACTTCTTTCTCTAATATTTCAATCCCTACTACAATAGCTTATTTTATTAGTTTTACAACACCAATACATAGAATCTACAATTTTGATGTTACATACACATCACCAGTTGCAATACAAGTAGCCTATACAATACTCCATCTATCAATTATGTAGACGTTGCTGTTGCCTTATATTTTATAATTTCCAGCCAGCATGAAATAAAATGTGTTTTAGAAATTAAAAAAAAAATGCAAGAAAAACAATAAAAGAAGTAAAGAAAAACAAATCATACAAAGTTACATAGACTGATAAATTGTTCTTTTTTCTTTGTGGGGGAACAATTCTAACTTTTGGGAGGTCCGATAAAGAGTTGTGTTTCTACCTCCTTTACCTGTCTCAGTGGCAAGGGTTGTGGACTAATCGATAGTTCCAATTGTTGCTCTTCATACTGCAAATTTTATTTTTTTCAAAAAAAAATGTAAGTTACTCAATAGATAGGTTAATTTGGCCTACACAAGGTGCATTTATAATTTTACTGTTAGCACTAAAACTTGTAAAAGAGGTGAATTTAAGATAGAAATTTATAGATCTAGACCATACGTAATATCTTTTTCACCCAAGTTTTTCCATATGTGGGAATTCTTTTATTTGAAAAAAAAATATTTGGATATTCAGTTAAAAAGAATATTCTAAAATGAATTTACTCGCTTCTATTATATATCCATACTTACCCAACATCACAAAGTTAAAATAGACTTTTCATTTTAGGTCCATTTAGGGTATATATAAATTAATAACGTCACGAGTAAAAAGAGTAATCCACCTTTCCCCGCAATTCTGCATTTTCCTTTCTGAGAATTTTCTCCTGAATTTTGAGAAGACATGCAAAGAAGATTAACAATGGCGATTTACATGTTATGCATAAACTATATTCCTGACCAAAATGTGAATAAATGAATAAGCAACTCAAAGGCGTATTTTTTACCTCTTCTTTCAGCTGATCCATTCGCTCCCTGAACAATAAACTCTGCAGAAGAATTGGATGTTCGATTTTGACCGTCAAATTCTACATTCTGATCAAATCATTGTAGAGATGCCTATTGCAAAACGTACCTTTCTTGACCTGATGATGCTTAAACTTTTCTCCAGCCGATTTTCTATCTGTTGCAATTCATCAACACTGGAGGAATCTAAACCATCTCCCAAGAACCTTCTGCAACATAAAAAATTTACATTTATTGGTTTTTGTAATCACCAAAAACTGTAATCATTCATGGTGTTATACAATAAGGATGAATCGTGCTTAAAAACTTAAACAAATGTGTCAATGTTAGGACAACAACCGTCGAGTTTCCTCAAGGATCTCAATTTTTTTTCTCAGGATTGCAACCTCTTCTTCGAAATGCTGCACGCATAAGAATAAGCTCAGCACGAATCCAAAAAGGTAGCAGAATAAATTCGTACACAAGATTCTTTAAGTCAAAGAATCAGTTGGCACTGTAAACATCCATGATCTTGAATGAGATTCCCAGAATCAAGAGATCAAGTGAATGTAAGACATTGCGGCTATTCAACAATAGTTGTTTTCGCCGGTTCAAAAGGATCTTGAATGCAAGACATTACCGCTATTCAATAATAGTTCAACAGGATCTTGCCTCCCATTCCGAGAGGGCCAGAAGGTGAATGTCAAGGAATAGCTTATTTTGGACATTGAACGCAATTCATAGGCTTTCATGCAACTAAAATTTGGTACCAGAGGGAAAAAGTAGATTTAAACCCAGGACCTCTAATTTCTTGAAACGCAATGTCAGGACACAATTGAACCTTAATATGCGCTGTTCAAAGAAAATTCAAAAGGTCATTTCACATGTGAAAATGGTACATAAAACTCAACAAGATGACATTCTTCCCCAAAAACAAAGCAAGTTATATATCATCAAAATGGTAAACACATGGAGCAGACGCACAAAAAGCACATATGTTCAGTCAAGGGGATGGGGTGTGGGGACGGTGTGGAGAGAAGAATTTTCTCAGTACGAAACTTTC